TTTTTTTTTTTCTTTTTCTTTTCCATCAACCCCTCTGATTTTTGCGTGAGGGTAAACAGAGGTGGGTGACAATATAATTGTAGACAAGATATGGGTCCGAGTGGTAGGGACCGAGCGAACCGATTGCTTTCTCGACGATACGCTAACCATGGGTTCAGCTGCGCCGCTCCCAAAGGATTCGCTCTTCTCCGATTTGAACCTAGGATATGACCCCTAGTAGCACTCGCCCTCAATGAGCGAGAGAGACAACGCTCCACAAAAAGATTTTTTTCTTTTTGTTTTTCTTTTTCTGGTGCTATTGTCCGAGAACTTTCGATTATGTATACCCACCGCAACCTAGACGCCGACACACCCGGTAGCTGAGAAATCTAGGGCATCAAGATTGGACATCATACGTAACTGTTTCATAGCCATATTCATTCGTAGTCATCCTCGGTACTCCTCAGAGGACAACAAACCTCCAATATAGTGGAGACCACGACGCCAGAACAATACGAGTTGATAAGGTTGATTCGCGGATTGGAGTGTTGATACCTAAAATTTGGAATAATAAACTTGAGATAATGTCCCAAAACATAGTTTCGACGAAGTCACGTCAAGGATCTTGTTTGGTACACGAGTGTGTTGGCCGAAGGAAGCATTTGTCTAGACGGAAGTTTAAACAGACACTGGAGAGGGTTCACTGCACGAACAAGATGGACGTGAGTCTGGGTCGGGCGAGACAGGAGGAATCAACCCAGGGCAGTGGATAGTCTAATTGTCACAGACCAATGGATAGGGACCCTAAGGGCACTGTCGATGCAGCGCTGGAGCAAAATTTCTGGTGAGAAAACGTGAGATCCACCCCGCCCGCTCGTGACTCGTGGAGGATGACCGATGCGATCGACGCTATTCCTGGTTTGGACTGAGCCCAGGTGGCCGGGCTTGACCGAAACATCGAATACGCGAACGCGACGAAAAAAAAAAAAAAAAAAAAAACCGAAGTTAATTGTTTCAATCTCTTTTCATTTGTCACCCCTCATGTGATACTTTCATATTGATTAATTCGATATTGAGAGATTAATCAATTGAGTGGGGTACGCATGCGAAGTATTCATATCAGATATACGGCGTACCGCCATAGAAAAGGGGCCCGATCGTCGATTGATGCCCTGGAGATCCCAACAACCGGCTTTCCATGTGCCTAGGTATGTATGTACCTGCATTGCATACCTGGCAGCCTACTGTACCTGCGTAGGATTCGATATTGAGGTTTTCAGTCCAATGGTTCAGAGTTTACCCTAATCTCGCCGTCAACCAATCGGCCCCTCCACGTCTCTTCAACCAGACTTCGACTTTTTGTTTTGCGGCGTTCCGCCCGGTCAACCATCTACTTCCGGAGTAGTGGTCCTGTACATACCAGCGCTTGCAACCACACGGCATGAATTGTTTCAGCGCGTCCTCATCCAGGAACCACCCCTCAAGGTGCAAGGTTTTTTAATCTATCCAGAGTCCCAGGCAAATTGATATTTACTCACAGTGGAGCCTCCGCCGGCAAGTAAATCCTTTCAGGGTGGATTATTTCGGCTGACGACGGTACACGGCACTATATAGTAAGTACTCCGTCAAAGAATCGAATATTGCATGATGGTGGAGTGGAGCTTTGCTGTGACATCCGCATTAAACCCGAGGTCATGTGACACTTGCCCTAATTTTGTATAAATCACACCTTCAGCTCATCCGGGGTCCGAGAGAAAGGATTGGGGGCAATAGCTGCATTGTAGATCTGTTCAATGGCGCTGTATATATCGAGTTGCTACTAGACGCGATTTCTGAATTGGCTCCTCGGAAAGGATTAAAGAAGAGCACATCCCTGTTAATTAGAACTATTTGCCCCAGACAGAGCTATGTAGAGGTGCCCTGGAAGCAGAACTTCAGCTTGTAATGTGCTAAGGAACTTTCTTGGCTGATACAACTCAAAGGGCTTAATAATAGCCCATTAATTTAATACGAAGTGCCCGGCTGACCTTGGCGGGTCTCCCACGAAACTAGTCCGTAGGTTCATGGCTGATGTTCTCACTGAATCAGGCAGTCTCGTCCCCTTGCATTTGTATGCATTCCCCACCATGCATTGCTTATCTCCACGAAGAGCATATCCAACATCGTATGTCTGCATAAGATATACATCCTGATGTATAAGCACTAAAAAGGAGAAGACGCGGTGTTTGAACCACCCGTGGGTAAGATTATACAATCGCTACTATTACCTGTTAAATGATCCTTGTCAGTATCTCCACTGCATACGTAAATCATTGGTTCTTGAAGTAACGGGAAGTGCACACCTCGTAGTAACGTAGTATACAGCAGTAATGTGCTCGAGCATCGGACAGTACAACCCTTCTCTAGAGATTATAGTTCATTAACCCGGTTCGTCAAAGCCGGGCACTCTAACTCCAGACAGGTAAAATACCTCGTAGCCCCTTATGGATGCAGCGCGATGGAAGATCACTGAACCCACTCCCCAACCCACTTCTGGATCCATTCCCGCTTGACAGCCTCCACGGCTTGCAATTTCTCACTGCGCTGCGCGGTGAGTTGCGTATCCAGCACGTTCTCCGGCGTAGACTTGGACATGATATCCTCGAAGAATTCAAGAAGCTTGACGGCAGGGCTTTTAGCTACGAGCGCCTGTAGCTCCTCGTTGCTAAGGGCCTTGTCGCCAGTACCTGCTGTCTCAATGTCCTGCCGAATTTGCTGGACCCAGTCTCCAAAGGGAATAGTTTCAGCTGTTTTCCCGGACGCTTTGAGGCGAGCATTTGCCACGATGGGCCGGATTGCTTCCCAGGTCAGGGGGTGCAGGTTTACCGGATGAAAAACATTGACAGATTCATTGGTTGCCTTGTCCTTGTTTAGAGCCAAATCGACTAATACCTCGGCCAAAAGGTCGATTGGTACCCAGCCAATGCGGTCGAGGGCTGGCCCGAGGGTGTCGGGTAGAGCACCAACGTGCAAGGAGCTCAGGACAAGACTGGGAAACCACTCTGCCTTCTTTCACAAGCCACGAGACCGCACGGGCCCCGCGATCCGGCCTACACGGGCGAAAGAAGCACGCAAGAAGCTCTGTTTAGCAGCTTGGGCGAGAAGATGTTCTGCGAGGTATTTGCTGTTGGCGTAGTCGTTAAGAGCCTGGGTGGTAGTTGTGATCGACTCCTCCGGCGTTAAGCCATTGCCAGTCTGGTATCCCATAGTGGAGCTAATGGAAGAGATGAAGAAAAGATGCGGGGGCTGGGTGGCGTTGTGGGCGAAGTTAATCAGCTTCACTACTCCCACCAAGTTAGGCTTGAAGGAAGCCAAGGAGAGGTTGAATATTAGCGGCCCAGGAATTATGGATTACTAGGGTAGTTGCTGACTGTAGCATCTGATAAATATCGGACTGAAGCCGGAAATCTGGCTGCGAGAGGTCTGCATCCCAAAAGCTCACGCGCGACATATCTAAGTTTAAATTGTAGGCTTCGCTCTTCTTACGCTGCACGTCGATCGCACCATCCTTCCGACTAAGGCAATGTACATGCCTCACTGTTGGATTCCTTAATAGTGTATCAAGCATGTAGGCGCCTAAATTGCCCGTCGAGCCAGTGAGTAAAACAGTATGGGCCATGGGGGACTTGGTAGGAGCGGTGCCGATGGCCAGCTGTCCGATGAGCTCCTGCAGCAGCTGGTCTCGGTCTTGTAATTGAGCCTCCTTCTGAGCCTCTGTGGACGCCTCCTGGTGCTGCTGAAGGCGTAGAACCGCTTGCGTCAGACCTATCACTGTTGGATGGAGATAGATTAAGTTTGGGGTGAGGGTAGGGGAGTCAAGCCCACGCTTGAAAATGCGAGTGGCAGTGATTGTTTGCAGGGAGTCCAGTCCGAGATTGAACCAATTCTCCGTGTCTGTCAGCTTGTTCGCATTCCACCCAGTAATGGTAAGGATGGATTGTCGGATATAGTCCGAGATAAGCTTAGGATCTTCGGTGCATCCAGGTCCAAGCTGTTCACCGTCATCTTGTGCCAGCTTGTCCGCATCGATATACAGGGTATCCAACTCCGGAGTGCACTGTGCCAGCGTGCCAGCTCGCTGAATCGTTCCCTTACCGGCTCGAAGCATGGGCTTATTCGATGGCGTGAATAGAATATGGGTCTTGGCCACACGCGCATGCGCGGGACAAACCTCATTAGCTTGTCCAATGCTGGGCCAAATCTTTTCAATCATCGCAGCGCGTTCACCCACGCTGAGATCCTTTCCATTCACTTCTACTAGGAGAGATGCTTGGAAGCGCTGTGAGCCGGCCACAAGCGCTGCAGTGACATCTGGATTACACGCGATGATGTGCTGTTCCATTGACACTGGATTGGTTTTCTCACCGTTGAGGAACACAATCACGTCATCTGCACGACCGCACCAGCGCCAGAGGTCGGGCTTAGCAGGATCTGGATGTCGGACAAACAGGTCTGAAGTGTGATAATCATATCGATCAGGGAAAAGCGTAAAAGGGAACTGGTAGCGCTCACGTTCAGGGCTACGGGCTATAACCATCTCATACTCCTCCCCGGCGATATTATGAAGCTCGACTCCCATGCGGGGGTGAAAATCGATATAACGCCAGTCCTTAAGGGGATCACGATTGGTTTTGGAGTAGATAGAAGGGACCATCCTGACCTCAGACGCACCATACTGATTCACTAACTTGATCTTTGCAGCTACTGTGTCGCCGATCGGCTGAGGGAGGTCCCCTCCGCAGTAGATGAGATGTGTTAGATGTTTGCTACAGAAGTCCAGGAGATCCGGGCTCTGTGCCAGTTCCTGGACGATCGACGGCACAATCAAGGCGGTCTCGAAGGGGGCACGTTTTCTCGCTTCGACCAGGGCGGCTGCCGTGGGAAGACCACCGGATGTTGGCAGGACGAGGCTGACATCGATAGGCAAGATGATGAAGTGTAGGTAGGCCAGACCGGCCGCCTTTCCAAACCATTAGACCGTAGATACTAGTTTTCAAGGGCATCAAGAGAGCTTGCATGGAAGGGAGGAGGAACCAGATACATTCTCTTGCCCTGATTCCAGTGTTCCAGACTCTCATATCCTTCTGGGGGCTCCAGAACCACCACCTCCATGTGCTTACAGGCAGTATCATGGGTCCAAAAAATTGGTTTTGGGATTCCCGTTGAACCGGATGTGTGGCTAAAAGTGTCAGCATTGGACGTGTCGTGTGGATCCCGTAGGGCCCAGGGCATACAGGACAGCCAGAATCTCTCTGGCGGCTTAAGGATAAGTCTTCGGAAAGTTGAAATGGGGGTGTTCCTTGCTCGCCAGCTCATCCACACTGGGACATCTAGAACATTTAGGGGGTATTCCTCTAGGATAGTCGTGACGGGTGGTGGCTGCGGCACGGGGCTGATCAGAGTGGTGCAATTGAGCCGCTTTAAGAGGCTGCTATGAGCGACCACACTGTTCCGTGGCGATGTGAGGAACATCTAGAAGCAAGATTAACTTTTCCTTGTCATATGTACCAGAGTTTATATATATATCCCTGTGTGTGTGTGTGTGTGTGTGTGTGTGTGTGTGTGTGTGTGTGTTTCAATTTCTCAGGTATTGATATGTTAACAGTGGATCCTTTGTTGCGACGATCTGTAAACCACGGCTATTAGAGAAGGATCACGTTTGTCATAATAATATATCTAAATGTTACGAGTAATTGGCTCTAGCTCTATCCTATACGCCTACGTAGTATACCTTTCCATGACGACATTAGTCACTCAATCTAATATGAGATTTTACTAGACCAGGTAAGTGACTGAACTACCCTGCCTATCAAAAGAACAAGATTGCACCTGAATCAATTATGGGATCCAAAATGACTTGAAGAGAAGTCCGATCTTTCTTGTAAATACTAGTAGGAATTTAGTATAGTATCTCGAGTACTTTCATACCTCTATACTATATATCTCAGGATTACGGGCGTGTCGAGAGATAAGCCGTTCAAGTTTTTAGTATACCTAAGCTTTATAACCATATAATAACATATTTTTTTTTTATAAACCAGAGATCAAGCTAACCACAGCTAAGTGCCTCTGCCTTGGTATAAAGCTGGGGCATGTTTGTCATTCTGTCGGGGTGTAGTCTCCTAAAGGTGGAATGGATAATCGACACGGCGATGTTCGAGATACTATGCAAATTAGTCGAGCTTGACCAATTGAGGTTAAGCTCTAATGCATCGTTTGCTCGAGATTTATGTCTATTAGCCTCTCTTTGTCTTACCTTCTGTAGTACTTTGTACACACGCTAGCCGCTGTAAGGAATCTGATGACATGCCAAAAAATACCTCGAGACATGGAAGTGTAGTACAGTCTCGTTTGAGCAGCTGGTCCTTCATTCCGTTTAATCTATGTGCATGAAAGCGATGTTGAGAAAGTTGCTGAGAGAACCTAAGGCACAAGGAGAACAAATTCAGGTCTTTAAGTGATATAACGGGAAGCAGGAGGCTACGCTGCCTATCTTTGACATCGGGCTTCTGTGCGTGGTCAAACTGACCCCAGGGGACTTCCCCGCATGGCGTGAGAATGAACTCAGCCCAATTGACAACACAAACTGATACGTATCGTCCTATCTGCGCTTCGCTCAGACGGCGATCCTGACTCGGAGCTATATCATGCGTCTCATTATGACCTCCCGCTTAGTAATTTTCTGATTCTAAGTATGTCTAGCTGCCTCTCCATGTAGCTTTCAAGCCTATTCTCATTGCTTTGACTTCTGACTGACTACTTGCATGAGGGTTAACCCCCATGTGTTAAGACGTTGACTGGCCCAAGGGCCAATTTAATCTTCGTGAGGGAAGTGAAATACCATAGAAGCTTCTGTTGCACTATGTTGGCTACCAAGATCCCGTTCAAACTGAAAAAAATCCAATGCGACAAACGTTATCTCCGGCGGGCTTGGGGGTTGGGTCGGGCCGAAGGGAAATATGAGCAGAAGACATGCTCGTGGACAAAAGTATCCAGGCAAATCAGTTAATCAATGGTCATCCAGTCTCACATGGAACAAGCTAAGACTTGAAAATCTACTGTTATCCACCACCTACTCTTTGTTGTAGTGGCAATACTTCGGAAGGGAGTGGCATGATGGCTATACTGCGTTCAAACAACGTTATTTGACGACTGTCAGATACTAGTATAGTACACTGTAAAACTACCTAGCACAATAAGCGCAAAGCAACACAACACCATCAATAGACTACTCATCAAACCCAACGTCACTTGAGTAGTACCAAAACCCCACCGCAAAAAGCTAATCCAATGAGAAGACACAACCTGGGAATAAAAGAGTCTATACGGCGTAAGCGCTGGGTGTTGGTTAGAGTAAACAGAAATTAAACTTAGCATGTTGTTGATCCTAACACTACTAGTACCAGTAGGGGAAATAGTTGGGGCCATCAGTTTTAAAACTGTTTTCGTGCGTGGCATTTAAACATACATATGTATGAAGATGCATGCAGCATGCATGCAGTACGTGCCGTGCTACCGGAGCGTTAATGTAAAACAATTGATTGGTTGAATTGAGTTCCGAGATGGTCACTGGTAACTGACTTTACATATTCTGTCCCTCTGGTATCAGAGGAAATATATGTGTTATTTGTTCTGCTACGCCTAACATTCGTTGTTTTTCTGCCTCTAGGGTTCGATGGAGGTGGTATGTATTGTGGGTAGATGGTCTGTGTTGTTGATTTTTGGGATATTTCCAGAAGGGCGATCTGAGTCGAAGTAGGTCATCTTTAGTTCTATAATTATCTCGGGCCTTCCTTGTATGGGACCTAGACCTCTGGTATGAGTCCTATATGGTGCGACCAGGAATACCATATAGGGTTCCACGGTCCCGAACTAGAAGCCCAGAATTACATCACTCTTGAGGGCTTCTTACTCTCGATATGGAATGCCATATTTCAATCACGATAACGACAAAGTTCAATATTATGCCATATAAGGATGGATATAAACGGTAGTGCCACATTCCCTTCGGGACTAACATAGAAAAGCAAATGCCACCCTCAACCCCAAGTTAAATGTTAATCATGCAATCAGAGACTTGATACCGGCCTCAAGGGCGGGGGGGTTGGCGCCAACGACATCGGACACCTTCTTGCCATCCTTGAAGAGTATGAAAGTGGGCATGGCACGGACACCAAGCTCGCCAGCGACATTGGAGAGCTCGTCGACATCGATCTTGTAGAACTTTGCATCAGGGTACTGCACGCTGAACTGAGCGAGCTTAGGGGCAATGGCCTTGCAAGGACCGCACCACTCGGCGAAGCAGTCGAGAACGACAGGGCCAGAGGCTTGTTCGACCTTCTCCCTGAACTCCTGCTCGCTGCACGAACAGTTAGTGACATGGGTAACCGAGAATGAGACGTAACAAAAGAGAGAGACAGGGATTGTGAGAAACAAGTTGTTGCTCGGTGTTCATGCAAGAGAGGAAAGCCTTACGTCTTGATCGTCACAACGTTGCCCTCAGACATGGTGGATGAAGGTGTGAATCGAACGGTGGGGGTAGAGGAAAAAGCTCGTCGAGTGAGATTGAAGTGTGTGCCGACGGAGGGCCGAAGGGAGGTAGTAGATGCGATTGCTCTAGATGAGATCCTAGCAGAGGAAAGGGAGAGACGAGCGGTTGATGGTTTAAAACTAGGGAAGATAATAATTAGCTCCGGGTGAGGGGCTGATAGAGGGGCACAAAACGAGAATTTAAATCCCGATATGACGTTGTCGGTTGGCCTGAGGTTGCATGGTATGAATAATCACCACGGGGTTCCCCTGTCCACACCGAATCCTCTCGGCCACCGTAGAAAGGTCGCGGGTCATGGATGAGATTCTATGGATGGATAAAATTGCTTACCAAGTCACTCGCGATGCTCGCAGGAGACTCTTAAATTGATTGGTCAGGCTAGGAGAATACATGTTTGGTTACAATTGCGTGGCAATGAGATGGTTTGGTTGGTCAGTACAGAGCAGTATGATGGGAGGATTCAATGGGCAGATGAGTGAGAAGACACTTCTGGTTCTCCCGCTTCTGCAGGGCAAACATGCTTAAAGCGGCGGCCCGGAATGGCGTGCTTCCTGTCGCTTATCAATCAGGAATGGTCTGGATCGGCATTCGTCTTGGTACCTCAGGCATTCTACTAAGCATGCCGAAGAAAACAAGCATACAGGAATACTCGAAGGATGCGGATCTACGATACGGAGTGGTATTCCATTCATCTCAGTCGCCTGCTTCCAGCTACTGCCTGACTAAAGTCTACAACGGTTGTTATTTTAAGAATAGTATGAATTCTCAGTCTCGGAAACTGAAGATTTTCATAACCGGATATATTTGCATTGTGCGATACACTAGACTCTGATGCACCATCAATTAAGAACTAATATCGTATGGCGATAGAGATAATAAAGGGCATCGCAATACTGAAAAGAAAAAAAAAAAAAAGCAAGTCACTCATGCAACAGCGACATGTGTGTTGGCATCAATATATGCATCGAATCGAAGAATGGGATTGCTTCAAGTCTATTGGAAGGAGATAGTTTTTAGAAGAAAATGAATCAAATAGAACCATTAACTTTGCAAACTCATTCAAACTTCAGCTGACGTGGGGGTATCAACAAACACAAGAACTAGCAACGCCCGCGAGCAAGACCAGAAACAACGAGTCGGCACGGGGGTAGACATCGAAGAATGAAGTGAACTTATGGCCACGTCAAGTGCCACATGGAACACGTGCAAAACCAACAACACAAAGGAGAGACAAAGGAAAGGTTCAAAGGGGTGACTGGGGTATATACGAAAGAGGCTGATTGAATACTCCTAGGACGAAAGAACGCCAATGAGAAAATCAAATGTTGGCGAATGAATATCACATCACCAAGATCACGCTCGGTAATCAGGCCCCAGTCAAGTTTGGCCATGGGCTAACTGCCCGATGTAGTGGCGATGCCCTACTGGCCATGGTGACCGTTGTAATCATCGTTGGTCTCAAAATAAAATTCAGCTGGATGTTCTTCGATAGGACTGAACTCCTCTTCCACAGATATTGCACACATGGATTGGACATTATTGAGCAGACCCTCGTTCGACTTAGGCCGGACTGCTGGGTTGACAAGCACAGGACGCTTTGCAATTTCGTCATGCCAGGTCTCCTCGGTCGGCTCTGGCGCATTAACCATTTCAAAGTCGTTGTCTTGCTCACTAAGCACGTGGCTAGCTCTGGTGGTCTCATCGTGGTTGGTGCTAAACTTGACAAGTTGTTCGTTGGCCAGGATGTCTTCCTCTTTAGATGGCTCTGCACGTTCTTCATCCAACCTGTTTCTTGAGGAGCTAAGGCTTGGTCGGCCTGGGGTGCTCGTCCTCTGAGAGATGCGACGAAGGAATTGACCTGACATCCAAGACCCTTCTGAGTCTATTGACGCCAGAGACTGAGACAGAGGAATGTTATCGACGTCCCCTTCCATGCTATCGCCCGTCCAAGAGTAGTGATGGTTTGCACGAGCATCCTGAGGCTCCGAATCAGACCCAGGAATTGGGTACTGTGTTTTCTCGTGCAATTCAGATTTCTCGGTTTCCATTTCAGACTGTTCAAAGGGTTCCTCAGGAATATCAGGCGATTGTAGCCGAGAGTCAGGTGGTGATAAAGGCTCGTCCCCGAAATGTTCCCTGAATTTGGATTGGGAACGTTTCATTGTACCGGAATGTAAAAAGGTTTTTGGTGGAACATATGGAGGAGGTCCTGAGGACTGTGTCGGAACCTTGAAGAAAGATTCATGCGATGTGTTCGACGAGAATTCTGAACCACGGTCTTGGAAACGTTCGCGATAACGCCGCTTGAGGCGTGAGCTACCACGTCTAAATAACGAGGTTATTGTGTTCACGCGCCCACTGCTATGATCGGATAACCGGCGGTCCGAGTCGAGAGTCCTGGACACATCCGAGGTGGATTCCCTGCCAATGTTGTATGCTTGCGAGGATGTCGGACTGTAAACCTCGCGTCTTGTCGGTGAATGAGACGGCGATAAAGTGCTAAGTGACATACCCATTTCCTGGGATGGAGCGAAGCTGCGCCGCATACCCAACTTTCGCTCCCGAATGGAGCTATCATCAATGTTACCAATAACGTGGACACTCTCCAAAGATCGACAGTCACTCCGTTCGGTGTCTTTAGAAAGACCTCGCAACCATGAGCCAGTTGCAACCCCGGAAGCATCGTATCTTGTCTCATTTAATCCAGAAGCATCTTCAGTGTTGCACTCTCGAGATTCAGCACGGTAATCGGCGCTAGGCCGGCCTCGCTGAGCTTGAGCCATATCCTGCGATTCAGCTTGATGGTTGTGGGAACCACTAGTAACTTCTTCCTCCAATCTTTGACGCTCAGCAGCGCGCTGCAATTTGCGCTGGAGTTTTTCATACTCTTCGGCTTTCTTCCTCTCCCTGCGTCGGCGATCCCTTTCCAGCAGCTCCCTCAACGCGCCTGCATCAAGGTCGTCGGCCAATTTGTCGACTCTTTTCCTCGAGTGAAGATTATCTTCTGAAACGGAAATAGCCGTTGCCACTTCCCTCCGGGTTGACGCTTCGGATGGCTTTAAACTTCTTGCTGTGGGAACTCGAGGAGCCTCCACGTAACGGATAACAGGACGGGGAGTCCAGGCAGCGAAGCCGTTAACCTTAAACGTGCATGATTCAGAGTAGTCAGATAGCGAGGATGCAGAGTCGTGAAGCGGGAGGCTGACGTCAGAAAAGTATCGGTCTGAACGACGACTCTGGGCTCTAGGCCCTCTACGGGTATAGACAGATCCCTGTTCACCTGGCAAAGTAGCGGAACGACGAGGTATGTCAATCGGAGATGAGGACATCAGACGAATTTCTCGCTCCCTGGCGATCTCGTAGGCCTTTCGCTTGCTTAGCTTTTTCTTCAGAACCGCGGGTCCATTTTCAGAACGGTTTGGTCTCCGCAGCGACGCATTTCGAGAGAGTGAGGGCTGGTCTTGAGCGACAGTAGTGCGAGACATATAACCATCCGGGGTCAGACCAGTTCTGGCTGACGAGCCCCGTGCACCTTTCACGGGATGCTCGCTATGTGACGTAGGTGGAGGATATGCCGTCGGCTGTGAAGAGAGAGGCTGTGCATCTTGAACGGGACCCGAGAGATCGTCAGCAGGCTGCAAGTGTCGGTTCTTTTGACGTTTGGATTTCTTGCGCGAGGGTTTTCTCCCCAGTTTGGCATCGTCGAGGCTAAGGCGAGGTTCTTGTGGCATATGGATATCAGCCGTAGCAACTGTATCCAACTGGACAGTATGCCGCTTATTCTTCCGACCAAATGGCCATATCGCCATGGCGCCTGGTCATATGTTCTTTCGTCCAGCGTAAGAATTAAACGTGGACGCAGCTGGTATCGGATGCAGATTCGGACCGGATGACTAGACTCATGAGGAATAATGGGACAGGGAATCACACACGATCATCAGACAATCTAGAGTGTGGCTCGAAGTAAGTAACCGAAATAAATAGAACAGACGGTTAATCCGGCGGCAATTGAATCGTGAATCAAGGTTATTTGTTCTTTTTTTTTTTGGTTGACTCTCTTTCTTTTCAAATGGCCGTCACTGGAAAAAGACAACCCGAGGCAACTAGAACTCAAAGCGATAGACAAAAAAAAAGTATAAGATGAAAGAGTTAAAAAGATCCCCGGCTGTTGGAATGGACTGGGGGGGTGTCCAAAGAAACTATTGGTTTAGAACGAACGGGTAGAAAAAGACGTAAGTACTGAGCGAGTGCTATTTGTCCAGGTGAAAGTTAAGACCCTCCGGAGCCACACGCCACAAGGAGTGGCAAAAACAAGATAGCTTCCACGATTACAATCAGGTATCAAAATCAAAAACGAACGAACAGGATTGAAGCGAAAGATGACGAAGAAGATGAAAGTGTGGACAAGGGAGGAAAAGAAAGAGGAAAGGGAGAAACGAGAAGAAAAAAAGTGAGCCCAAGAGACCAAACCCCAATACCCAAAAGAGTCAAGTCAGTGAGCGAGGGACTGCCAGAGTGACTGCGAGGGCCGAGACAAACAAACCGCCCTTTTTCTGGGTCACTTTACCCAGGGGACCAGGCCTGCTGGTTACACCGCGAGCGCCCCCGGGCCCGGCCGTCACAAGAGGGACCACTTGAACCAGAGGATCTTCCCCCCCCTCTCCCCGAAAAGAATAAAAAAAATATATTTACTGCGTATATAAAATAAAAATAAAATAAAAATCCATATTTCTTTCCCGTCTATTGTTTTACTTTATTATCTCGAAAATTACAGGTCAGTCTGAACCGTTGGTTGTCTGCCGATCATTTTATTGTTATCTACATCGTCTCCTTTTTGAAAGTTTGGTTTTCTCCTAAACTCTGATATATACCGAATCGGCTTTTCTCATCTCCAAAGAACAGAGGTAGGAGAACTTCCTCAATATTCAGCCAGAGCAAAATCACAGAAACAAGCAGGGAAAAGAATCCAACGGAGGTTGATCATGAAAAATTTCTTCAGTTGTGGAGAACTAAATCCACTAGACCAGACTGCCAGATTGAAGCCCAATCCCATTGTTACCACTGATTAGGGAGAGACATCATTGGAATTGAATGCCTAGGGACCTTTTAGTACCTGCTTTGGGGACCACTTAGCCATTGATTAGTTAGTATTCAATAGGCCCCATCCAAGCGGTGCTCCACTCTCCCATACTTAGAAACAGATAGTACAATACCGTCCCGTACAATAATTACCCAGGACCCCAGCGGTACTGGGGATGTTTGGGTACGTCCGATACTGTTGTCAGCGGTACCAGATGCCTAGAACCATTATTTTTCAATAGTTCATCTGCTGCTCCTGTTGAATCTGCGAGCGTGATGTCATGATGGACTTTTCAGAACAACTCGTGGGACTCAGATCAAGACTGTCAGCAGAATCCTTATATTGCTAGGAAGGCTCAGCGCAAAAGTATTCTTCACTTCTCAGAGCTGGTACTTTACTTAGGGCCAGGATATTCACCACGTACCCGTCTAGCTCTCGACATGTTCTCAACTGCCTACACATTAGGGCATTTGCTCTCCTCAGAAGGATACGATACGTAGATGTACATACTACGAGTGAGATGAAGCGGTATGTTAGAGTCCTTTGAGACAGCGCTAACACAGCCTCTGATGTCAAGGGGGTAAATCACGACATCAATGCCTGTTTACGTGTTCCTGAGGCCTTGCCGAGCCTACTCTGTATTATTTCGGGTGACTATCTCATTGTTAACGCTTAGTGGGCTCTCTTCATCGTAGATTAATTGCCGAGACTCTTTAATCTGAGATCCAAGGCATAATAGTTTAACAACCATATCATGCCGGATCGTGCCTGACATCCAAGATTTCATGATCTCGCGGTATCTACACAATACAAACAGTTTTATATC